TTAAAATTACATTGCAAGCAGTATTAAAGTTGCAAAGGTGGTGGAGAGGTAAACTTCTTCATGAACAGAGAACAAAAGCAGCACTTGTCATCCAATCGCATGTCCGAGGATGGACAGCCCGGCAAAGTGCTTCAAGAAACAAGCACCAAATTATTGTGATCCAAGTAAGTCGTAGATCTTGCTTACCGCGCCGTGCTTCCTTAGCATGCTTGAGGCAGCTTCTGAAGTTCACATGTATTTTATAGTTCTTTATTGCAAAAAATGGTACTTCTGCGTTGTTTATTTTTGGCACTTTCACTTGGCAATGACATTTGCCGCTTTTACTTCCATATTTGCAGCCAGTCAATTGTTGCGTATGTTACCCCTACATTATCTACTCTACAAGGATTTCATATAGCAGCTCATGCAACTTTATCATGATATGGACTAATACACTACTTTTCTCAAAGGACTTGACTGTTCCAAGTGTTTAATAATTTTTTGTTGTGCCAGAGCCATTGTCGTGGCTGGTTAACAAGGAAAAGGCTGCTCATTGAAAAAGAGGCTGTTATAAAGATTCAAACTGCAATTCGGAGCATGAAATACCGGAAAGCATTCCTTCGCCAAAGGTACGCTACTCTGGAAATACAACGGTTCGCAAGAGGAGCCATTACTAGAAAGAGTCTCCTAGGTACCTTTATTTTCAATCACAAGTTTCATTGTTGACTTTTCTTATTCCTGTCTATAATCAACTTAATGCATGGTATTCCAGGGGCCTCTTGCTACAGTAATATCTCAAAATTGGGTGACCAAACTCTTGCACTTAAAATACTATTGCAAGCAGTATTAAAGTTGCAAAGGTGGTGGAGAGGTAAACTTCTTCATGAACAGAGAACAAAAGCAGCACTTGTCATCCAATCGCATGTCCGAGGATGGACAGCCCGGCGAAGTGCTTCAAGAAACAAGCACCAAATTATTGTGATCCAAGTAAGTCGTAGATCTTGCTTACCGCGCTGACCTCCTTAACATGCTTGAGGCAACTTCTGAAGTTCACATGTATTTTATAGTTCTTTATTGCAAAAAAATGGTACTTCTGCGTTGTTTATTTCCTTTGACTATGGCTGGGTAATTATTTTTCACTTCCAACTTTTCTTGTCACATTTTGAAGATTAGCAAGGACTACTTCTCCTTCTCTTTCACTATTTATATCTTCCTGCGCTGTAGATTGTAATATTTTCGCTCACATCTGAAACATAGTCGACAGTGCGTATGGCCTTTGCATCCAATAATTCATTTCTAATCTCCCTTTGTAGTTGATCACATGTATCTAAGATATTTTTTTCTCGATTTTGTGCTTTCAGATCATCTGGAAACTTGATTTAGTTCATGGAGAAAAGCTGAACAATAATGCTTAAAAATGTATTAGCAAGTAGTTCTATTTAATATAGCAGGAATGGCCCAGAGCAAGTCAAGTAACAATCTTTAAAATCTCTGGAATCATGTGGTTGTTGTTGTCTGAATCTTCCAGCACTGGAAAGAGGGGTCCTTACTTGAGTGAAATATGGTTCAGCTCAATATCAGAAAACATCTTTGCAGTATAGGCATTGCTAAATTATGTGTATGTTTCAAAGTATTTGTATCACCAGATAGAATGGGTGTAGTGGATTGAAGCAGCGTATAATTCTTGAAAGGTAAAGTTCTTGTTATGACCTTATGGTGATTTTTCTGCGAATTAGCTATGAGGAAAGCAATTGGGGAATATATGAAGGTGAGAAGATGAGAAAGAAAAGATTCTTGGCTGAAGAAATAGAATATGTTCATATAGTACTGTCAAATATAATAGATAGCTTATATATGCTTTGAATCACTATGTTACATATGGGAATAAATGCACACTGGGTATACTATCTCAACTGTATGTGTCCTTTTTCACTATCATTGCAATATATGTCCAAGCCGTTATGCTTTCTAGCCGCATTGAATGAAGCTCAGTTTCACACGATTAAGCTTGTACTTATTGTATACTGTAGGATGTCTGCTGGCAATCTTCTTCTTGAATAATTTTCTTGTATACATTCCAACTATTTCCAAATTTGTTTTTGTAGTTGAATCAACAGTATCTTCATTCTTCTTGAACTTTCTTAACTCATGCGTCATTTTTCACTCAGGCATACATGAAAGGTTACCTTGCAAGAAAAGACTTAAGAGGGCAGCTTCTTGATTTGCGTCTGAGAGTACAAAAATCTGCTGCAAATGTTGATGATGGTATGCGCATAATAAACAGGCTTGTTGCAGCACTGTCAGAACTTCTGAATATGAGAAGTGTCAGCGACATTCTTCGTATCTGTGCAACTCTGAGTAAGTGTTATGTGCATCTGGGACAGATATGTCTTTGATTGTTTCTTGTTTTCAATGTCCACTCACTTAACAGTGCGTAGAAGGGTGCATGTCTAGATTCTCATGAGTGATGAGTTCAGTCAAGATAGTTCACCTAGGGATCATAAAGAAATAATATCCTCTTTTTCTTTTCCTTTGATAGATATGGCAACACAACATTCACAAAAATGTTGTGAAGAACTTGTTGCTGCGGGTGCTGTTGGTACATTGTTAAAGCTGATCAGCTCTCTCAGCCGGAGCCTACCTGATCAAGAAGTTACAAAACATGCACTCTCCACTCTCAGAAACCTTTCCCGATATCCACACTTGATTAATGTAATAATTGATAGCTGTGGATCAGTGGAAACAATCTTGCGGGAGTTTTTAAGGTATGCTATTGAAATTGAGCATTAAAATCAAGTTCCTAATGTACTTCTGGTGGCATAAGCTTTATATGAAGCTTTGCAAAATGCTTGTGCAGAAATAAAGAAGAGGGATATTTCATTGCGTCAGACCTTTTGAAGAAGATATTCACAGAGAAAACAGGTGTTGAAGCTGTGCACAAGTTGCCTGCTCTTTTGAGGAGACTACGCGATCATGTAGAAGAACTTTCACGGAAAGCAAAACCCGACAAGTGGTCTGCTCTTCAGTATACCAACCCCAGTTGCTTAATCTTCTTCTCCATAGAACAGTTTAGTTGTGGTAGATTTATTGTCTAAGATTGAACCTAATTTACGCAGGTCCAGGACTCCACAGCCACATGCAAGGAAAGAGCTGGACAAAAGATTGAGAGAAGCTGTTGAGATATTGGAATTGATTAAAGTGTCCCTCGGAAATCCAACTAGACGACTCTCTTACAAGGTGTAAGAATTTTCTTACTAGTTGGATAGGAGTCTTTGTCTTTGTTGATATTGTTATATATGCATTTAGTACATCATGTTTAGCAAGATGGAATAGAAACTTTCCTTGCAGTTCAGTTAGTGAATTGTGAAGATAACTTCACTGAATACTTCTCATTCTCCAACACCATCCTTAATCTAACTTTTAGTTAGTCCATTATGGACTCTTGGCTGTGATATGTGAGGTTGCTGTTAGTATTAGGTTGCTGAGTTTAATCACCATACAGACATTATGATAGAATTTTTACAATATCAGGTAAGGTAACTCAGGTTATGTGCTACAACATGTTAAATCTCCATACAAACATTATGATAGAATTTTTATCAGGTAACTCAGATTATGTGCTACAACATGTTAAAATTACACTAATAGTATAAATTCTTTACACTTAGTGAAATTAAATCCAACCGTAATGTCAACAACAACAACAACATACCCAGTATATTCCCAACAGATGAGGTCTGGGGAAGGTAGTCTGTACGCAGACCTTACTCCTACCTAATGAAGGTAGAGAGGTTGTTTCCAATAGACCCTCGGCTCGGGAAGAAGAAGAAGGAGACGAAGAGGAAGAAGAAGAAAAAGAAGGAAAGCAGTAAAGGAAGAGAGAAGAAAAAGAGGGAGAGATAAGTAGTACCAAATAATAACAATAGAGAATATAATACCTGAGGCAAACAAAACCACATAATACAATTAAGATATGAGAATACTAAAGGACATGCATGTTACTAAGACTATCGGTGAGCAACTAAGAAACTCCCAACTACCTACTAACTTTCACACCCTACTATCAAGAGTCATGTCCTCAGTGAGCTGAAGCAGGGCCATGTCCTGCCTAATCACCTCTTCCCAACACTTCTTAGGCCTACCTCGACCTCTTCTCAAACTCGCCATGGCCAACCTCTTAACGGGAGCTCCAATGCTTCTCCTCTTAACATATCCGAACCATCTTAGCCTCGACTCCAGCATCTCGCCCTCCACGGAGGCTACTCCCACTTTGTCTCGGATAGCTTCATTCATAATCTTATCTCTCCTGGTACACCCATACATCCATCTCAACATTCTCATTTCTGCTACTTTTATTTTCTGCACATGGGAGTTCTTAACTGGCCAACACTCAGTCCCCTACAGCATAGCCGGTCGAACCACTACTCTATAAAACTTACTCTTAAGTCTTGGCGGCACATTCTTATCACATAAAATACCAGAAGCGAGCCTCCATTTCATCCATCCTGCTCCGATGCAATGTGTGACGTCTTTGTTAATCTCCCCGTTACCTTGGATAATAGACCCGAGATACTTGAAACTTGTTCTCTTAAGGATAACTTGAGCATCAAGCTTTGTTCCCAAATTTGCACTCCAAGTATTCTGTTCTGGTTCTGCTCAACTTGAAACCTTTAGACTCCAAGGCTTGTCTCCAAACCTCCAGCCTCGCGTTAACTCCGTCTCGCGTCTCGTCAATCAACACTATATCATCGAAAAATAGCATGCACTAAGGCACCTCCCCTTGGATGTGTCGCGACAGCACATCCATTGCTAACGCCAGTGTTTTGGAGAGCGAGAAGCGGAAAAAAGCGAGGAGGCCTCGCTTCACCGAAGCGAGAAGCGCGAAGCGAAGCGCTTTTTTCATGTGAAGCGCAATTTAACACATAAATAAAAAAAATTAAATAGGCATAGATAAATGACCAAGAACTCAATAAAAATAACATATTAAGCAAATGTTTCAATTCTTAAATCAAGAAGTAAATAATAGATACTAAAACTAGATACGCCCAAGCTGGATCTCTTTTTTGGCTTGATGCCATTGAATAATAAGATTGAATTTACTACAATCAACAACCAAAAAAAAA